ATATGAAATGACGGCCACCCGGGGGAAGCATTCATTAATTACTTCGCACTTAAGTGGTCGGTGTCAACGTTCTAATGGGGTATAGGGGTGGTCTTCATTCGGGAGACAAAAGAATTCTGTTCGTATGATGCCTCACGAAGGAAGAAACAGGGGAATACAAGGGGAAAGCATACGTATAAAAGCATTTGGATTTCTCCATTCTGCTACACCCATGTCCCTTAACCCTGCTATAGAAATTATTGCAGTTATTGAGAAACTGCAATAATTACTATTCAGGGTTAACTCCACCTCAAGTGGCTGTCTACCAGACAGCCACTAGAGGGCTTCCTGTTTTGAAATGGACCTTTGGTCCGTTATCTGATGCTGGACATTTTCATGATCTGCATTAATAATAATTATGCTTTCCTATGGAGGAATCCTAATGCGAGCTCGGCCATTGCCGCACATGCACATTGGGTGGAGGAGCGTGGGTGGACCCTGACCCAGCGCCGAGGGACATCTGCGCTGGATTTAGGTAAGCGACTGAAGTGCTTTTAACGTGGGAGGAGGGCTTGAGGAAGGGGGGCATTGTAGGATTCTATAGTGCCCTGGCACTATAGAATCCCTTTGATATGCCATGCTTGGAAATGAACCAGCTGGCCACTAAGACTGTGAGTACATATTGAATGTAAGGTAAACTGGCATAGAATGCTTACTACAAAAAAATAACTACCTGGTAATTGATTGAAAATATAACATTCATAAAAATATAGCAAAATCAGTGGATTTAAAAATATACTGGCCTTTCTTCAAATTTGAGTGCATAAATGATAGTTAATAATATATTATATTGATCAATCTTAGCTTTTTGCAATGTCTCACATTACTAATAATCCCCCAATACTGAATAAAAAAAATTAAAACATCCCACCATAACTTTAAATAATTATACCAAAGTAATCTAACATGATTTAAAGTATGTAAAATGAGTAAGGATTGATAAATAATTGTAATAAAGTTATAACCAATGGAGCCTACAAGCAGGTTAACCTCCTACTTTTGATTGAAGTAGTAAACTTTGAACCAAATTTATTATGAAATATGGTCGAACTGCATCTTGTTCATATGTATTAGAGAGGAAACAGGTCAAATTCAGACTGAATGATGGTCAAATTCGGAATGAATGATCGTCAAATTCAGACTAAATAGGAGTTGACTTCTGTTGTAACCAATGACTGAAAACCACAGGAGAGGCTTTGAATTTGAGAAAAAATAAAACGAACTTGGAAGTGACAAGATATGCTGACCACAGTTCCAAAATGTCAGAACAATGTCAGGAGGAAGCTATATATATATATATATATATATATATATATATATATATATATATATATAAATACACACACATATATGTATATATCTTACTCCTTGGTACTCATGTAAATTAGAGCTTGCAGTGAATATTCAGATGGTGCCAAGCCAACACAAGTGTCCCAGTCAGGTTAGATATGCACACACTTAAACTGGCACATCCCTTAACATCCATAGAGTATTCCTATTTGGCAGCAGTAGACATTGATGTTTAAGTATGGTGTCTATTTTATTTCAGCTAGGGCTGCTACAGTAATAGAGATAAAATGTTACCGTGAATGTACCCTGTGTTCTTTGCTGATTCTGTTTAGGTTTGATTTACTACTCTTCCCAGCTGGGCACCTCTTGGTATTTATCCTGCAGCTTTCTGAAAGATTGCCCTCTTTATGTGCGTGCCAAACTGTCATTGCTATCATCCGCAGGTTACAGAAGTCTCCAGCAGTGACATTTCCATACCTTTCATCTACAGCAGATTCAGATGCTAATTGGGTAGAAACCAAATTAAAAGGCATTAGTCACAGTCTTCCTTTGTGTTGTGTCACTGTGACAACAATTTGTTGTTTTTGATTAAAGCGTTTTCTGCCAAAGTAACTCCCCACTCCAAACTATTTGGTGGTTTAAAGGAGCAACTCACCCAGCATATAGAATAATATAGAAACATGCAGAGGTTCAATCAGTTTATGACCCACTGACTCTATCCTTCTCAGATGATTCTGGCTCTCCCTGATGAATACTTAACACACCAAGGGACAGAATATATAGATTTTGTTCTTTAAAGTGTTGTATTGAAAAATGTATGGATGAATATTACAAGGGACTTTGTAAAACTTTGTGACAGCACCTTCAGCTCCATTTTGTGAAATCATTGTTATCCCAAATTTCATGGAATTTGGGCATGAAGGAAACACATACTTAGTGTTAAAGCATGTCACAATACGAAAAATCTCCATTTTTAACTACTGCGTATGCTCTCTTTGGCCATGCGTTAAAGAGATTTACAAAAATGTAACTCAGTGGTAAATCTCTGTTACATATGTTCTTGTCTCTGTTTTTTTTCCCTTTCCAAATTCCTAAAATATGTAGAAAGACTACTTGCTCTGTTATACAGTAGATTGATAGATGAATGGAAGCTGATCACTTTAGATGCTTTTTACTATGTTACATTATGGTAACAAGTATATTGTGAAAGTATATTATCAGATCCAATATGCTATTAACCATTTCATTGAGCATTTGCCTGTAGAACACATCTAAATACCTTTTGAGATGAGTTTGAGAGCTCCTATTGTTTGGCTTACAAGACAACCAAACAAAGTACTCTACTGGGATTTCTGAGCATGAGAGGGCCTTTATGAAGGCTTTTCCCATCTTAAAAACCTTATTCTACATACTTAAGTGGTTCACATGGGTTATTCTTTGATGCATCTCAGTTTAATTTTTTTTGTCAAATTTGTTTCTGTTTTTGTCCTTTTTTTTATTACCATTAGTAGTGTCAGGATATTATGGATATTTTTGGAATTTGTAGGCTGAAGAAAAGAAGATTTCATAAAAAAGGAAAAAAATATATTTTCACAGGTATTAGTTTTATTGCTCTCTGTCTCACTATAATTAGGGTAAAGGGGATAGGTAGGAAATGCTTATATTAACTAAGGGTGGCTTGGAGCTTGGGGACACCTAGTCACATGGGAAGTGCACTTGAGGACAATTTGGGGAGTATGGAAAATAGCATGTCCACCCTCCCTCTTGTATACTTGATTGGAGCCTCCATCCACCAGCCATGGGTGGGTACTAGGGGGGTGTGGGAGGAGCATTAGGACACTCTAGTTATTATAATGATATCACTTACCCACTATGTCAACTTATTTAATAAGTAGCCCCTATACACTCATCATGGGTGGGGACAGAGGGAGACATAAGGATGTCCCCCATTTTTAAAATGTTATCTCCCCCAAATGCTGGCCTAGGGAATTTCCACCAACTGCTGGCCATTATTTAATTTAATTAAGTGACCAACATAATGCCCAAGGGTAGGGCTTAGGTGGAACAAGCCCAATGCCAATGGGTTAGGGCATTTCTAGCAACTGTGCTGATCACCGTTCAGTAAATATGCACCACTCACCACACGACAGTCGGTTAGAAACCCAGTAGTAATATGAGGGCCATATTGAACCCATAGGTTTATTTTTTGTGTGGAAAGCAAGTCTTATGGCTTGACTGGTGTGTTCAGATCTGTGTTCAACAATATACAGTTGCAAGAAAAAGTATGTGAACCCTTTGGAATGATATGGATTTCTGCACAAATTGGTCATAAAATGTGATCTGATCATCATCTAAGTCACAACAATAGACAATCACAGTCTGCTTAAACTAATAACACACAAAGAATTAAATGTTGCCATGTTTTTATTGAACACACCATGTAAACATTCACATGGTGTGTTCAATATAAACATGACAACATTTCATTCTTTGTGTGTTATTAGTTTAAGCAGACTGTGATTGTCTATTGTTGTGACTTAGATGATGATCAGATCACATTTTATGACCAATTTGTGCAGAAATCCATATCATTCCAAAGGGTTCACATACTTTTTCTTGCACCTGTATTGATTGTTTATTACATATAAAGATAGGTATACATATCTCCAAATTCATCTTTAAGCACCTGGTGTTATTAGTGACTATATGTGCCTTTTAGCACTTGTTATGAAATCGAAGAAAATTCCTCATTTGACATTTTATTATTAATTTTCATCTATAGATGGAACTGGACCCAGTAGTGCCAAAGGTAGTCATCATTGTCCAGTGACTATAGTTGCCTAGCGTCATATTAGTCATTTGCCAGGTTAGATTTGTTTGGGAACATTTATTTTCAGGCTTCATGGTAATACACACATAAACAGACCTTTTGAGTATTGCCATCTGATATACTGCAAAATCTATAAATAATTGTATTGTTGGCTTAATAAAAGGGACATATTCCAAGCATTGTGTGCAGTTTAATTATATATATAAAACACACAGTCTTTGAGGTTAATTGCAGATCATAACATTTCCAGTTAATGAGTCCCCAGTGTTAGCATGGAAATAAATCTGCATCCTTGGAAACAATCTTAATTGTACAACGATGTCTATTTTATAAAGACATTACATAATGTCTTTTCAAATAATATTTTTATCTAGATATAATTGATTTAGGTCTAAGGTGGATTATAGTAAGGATAATAAATCTGGCCATTTCCTTATCTGGATTTTATATCTCACAGCCATGTTAAAGATTCCAATATAGTAGAAATTATTTACAATTTTAAGGCATAGTGCTTTGAAAATGAGTACAAATGGATGTGTATTCTGATGCTATAGGTAACATATTACACAGTACCTTTATTACTTATATTAATGAGTTAAATTACTAAATGGCCCCCATGGTATCTATACCTCTCACGTCCCGGAACTAGGGAGGCACAGCACGCACCATAACACCGGGGGTCTGAGAGGACCCGGCGCACCCCGACACGTGCTATCCATCATGTCTCCCCCACCCCTACTCCTGACCCCTCTCCCCCCCCTCCCCCTCCCTGCCCTCCTTTCCTTTTCCCCTCTGCATCTAATCAACTTCACGTAACTTCTTTTCCTTTTCTGAGGGCTTGGGTAGATACGGCTTGTCCTGCCCCCGAGGAGGCCAGAGTCGGGAAGGCCCTGAACGAGTCGCTAAACGATATATAGCCACGACACGAAGCAGCTCCCAAAGATACGAGTCACCGACTTATATAACAGCTGACTGAGAGAGATGGAACGGGACCAGACAAGCAGAGAACTAGTTCTCAAACAAGACACAATTACCTGCTGGGAGGACACGAACTAACACCTGTCCCAGGACAGATTGGGGCGACTAGACGCAGGCAGAACGTACAACTGATCAGGGGGATACACGAACGCACAGAACCAGTCAAGCCAAAGTTTCTTACGCAATACTCCCCCGAGGCAGCTTTCTATAAGAGATCCCTGGCTAACGTTAGGATTAAGGGAATCACTGTCGCAACAGCAACATGTGAGGATCTGGAACCCGAATTACGGATTCCATTACAATAGAATTAATAAAGCAAATCATTCACTATACTAGGTTCCATAACCTATGTGCCAACTATCATTACTCATTGACGCAATTGCTCCCCTGCTACAAGTGTCTAATATTTTTAGTAATACACTTATTACCCCATCTTTTCCGTCAGACCAGTAAGCTTAGATCTACAGCAGAATTTTAAAGTTTGGTAGAATGTAGCTGCCCGTTTCTAACTAATTAGCTTGTCATTATTGCTATGGCTTCAGCTTCAGAAATGCACACTCACCTACAGCTGTTCAACCTACCTGCATCTCAATGATTGCTGCTATGACATTTGCAAATGTTACGTAACCGACAGATACCAATGCTTATTATTTGTATCGTTATTCAATTGATCATCTTATTTCTATGCCCATGTGCACTGTTTTGGTGTATGTATGTATATTGTACTCACATGGACGACAAATAAAGAATTTACAAAAAAAAAAAAATTACTAAATGGCACAACCTGAAAAATGGCACCAATAATAATTTTCAATAGCTTGCACTCGGGGGCTACAGCAAAACTAAAAATTATAAACTCCAGTTATAGAGGACATGCCTTATAGGAATTTAGAAACACTCAAATCAATTTGATGTTCCGTATTCAGTAATTGGGGCTAGGTCTAACTTCAACAGGGTTATTCGCTAAAGTGAGTTTTCAAAGTGAATTCAAAGCGAATTTCAAATTTAAGTTCAAAATAGCCAAACGGGAAAAATTCTCTAAGCCAGCTATGCTTTCGGTTTGGCTTCTCTGGCCTTAAATTTGAAATTCACTTTGAATTCACTTTTTTTCAGTATAATTCCTAGTTCTATGCTGTTACAAAGCAGGGCCCCTTCAACCAACGTCAAGTGTCCTTGTCTTGACCTATTTTTACAAGACTTAAGGCAGTGGTCATTAAACTCACACATTCAGTGCAAAAAAAGTTATAATATGACATGTGATTCAACTTGTCTTCAATAACATCAGTATTGTGAACAAGGATGGGTATTCATGCTCCATTCCAGGTAGCATTGCTACAGTTGTCCTTTTTACTATCATATAGTTATGCCTTTCTAAATGGACTTCCTGATTTGGTAGTGGAAGACGAACACATTTACATTCTCTGTGCTGATTGGTGGATGAATAACAAGGGAGAAATGTGTCAAGGCAAACAGGTGTTAACATGTGGCAAAGCACTAAGGAAAGGATTTATCAAGGAAAAACTGGAATTATACCTGTTCACCTGTTTATGACTTTGTCGGTTATCCCAACTATGACTAAGTAGTAGACTTGGATTGTCGTTCTGGTCCGAATTGTAATTTGTCCGAATTTGGGCCGATTGGAGGAGAGCAGAAATGCACCTGAATCGTGAACCTCTGTATATCTGCATGTGTGCCAGTGTTTTGTATTTGTTTATATGTGTAACTGTATGTGTGCCAGTGTTTTGTATCTGTGTATATGTATATCTGTATATGTGCCAGTCAGGCCCGGACTGGCCATCGGGCACACCGGGCAAATGCCCGGTGGGCCGCGGTGTCCGTGGGGCCGAGGCCGGCAGGGGAGGTCCCAGGATCTCCCCTGCCGGTCTATGCAGGGCCGGCACGCTCCCAGCGCCGGCCCCGCTTTGTGCCACGACGGGCCGGTGGGGAGATCAAGGATCTCCCTGACCGGCCCACATGCGGCCGCCGGCGGGGAGGGAGGGAGACAGCCAGCCAGGCTGGAGAGAGGACTCGGCGGAGCTCTAACTTGCAGCTCCGCCGGGTTCCTCTCGCGAGATCTGGCGCGTTGCCATGGCAACGGCCGGATCTCGCGAGAGTGAACTCTAGCCTCACTGGCTAGAGTTCGCTCACCCACGAGGACCACCAGGGAACACTGCCACCCTGCCTGCCAGCGTGCCGGACCCCCCCTCCCAGGCTAAAGGTAAGAAGGGAGGGGGGACATAATGCCTGTTTTTTTTATTTTATTTTTTTATTTACCCCCCCCTACACACACACACAATAACATTTATACAGCACTCTCACACCCATCACACACAGCACTCTCACACCCATCACACTCACAGCACTCTCTCACACAGCACTTTCACACACAGCACTCTCTCACAGAGCACTCACACACACACAGCACTCTCTCACACAGCACTCTCACACCCATCACACACAGCACTCTCACAGAGCACTCTCACACACTCACAGCACTCTCTCACACAGCACTTTCACACACTCACAGCACTCTCTCACAGAGCACTCTCACACACAGCACTCTCTCACAGCACTCTCACACACAGCACTCTCTCACACAGCACTCTCACACAGCACTCTCACAGAACACTCACACACAGCACTCTCACACCCATCACACACACAGCACTCTCTCACAGAGCACTCTCACACACACACAGCACTCTCTCACACAGCACTCTCACACCCATCACACACAGCACTCTCACAGAGCACTCTCACACACACACAGCATTCTCTCACACAGCACTCTCACACCCATCACACTCACAGCACTCTCACAGAGCACTCTCACACACACAGCACTCTCTCACACAGCACTCTCACACCCATCTCACACAGGGCACTCTCACACGGCACTCTCACACCCATCACTCACACCGCACCCTCACACACACACATACTGCACCCCTCACATACACACAGAACCCCCCCAACACACTGCACCAAACACATACACAATACTTCCAAATATATATATGTGTGTGTGTGTGTGTATATATATATATATATACACACACACACACACACACACAACACTCTTAAAGGACCACTCTAGCCACCCAGAACACTTCAGCTTAATGAAGTGGTCTTGGTGCCAGGTCCTTCTAGGGTTAACCCATTGTTTTATAAACATAGCAGTTTCAGAGAAACTGCTATGTTTATCAATGGGTTAAGCCTTCCCCCAAAGCCTCTAGCAGCTGTCTCATTGACCGCCGCTAGAGGCGCTTGCGTGCTTTGCACGCAAGCGTCCATAGGAAAGCATTATAAATGCTTTCCTATGCGACCGGCTGAATGCGAGCGCAGCTCTTGCTGCGCGTGCGCATTCAGCCGACGGGGCGGATCGGAGGAGGAGAGCTCCCCGCCCGGCGCTGGAAAAAGGTAAGTTTTAACCCCTTTCCAGAGCCGGGCGGGAGGGGGTCCCTGAGCCACATATGCATCACATTACACCACAAACACAACACGACTAAAACCGACCTTATTACACAATACCACACCACGACCAGCTCACTCTACACACACAATACCACAAGCAGGCTCCAAACACATGCACAATACTCTTTCCTGGCCTTTTGTCTCCTGGTATCCATTTATAGAGACACCAGAGACAAGTTGCAAGGAAACACAGTGCAAGCATGTTATTAAATTTGCTTGCACTGTGCAGAACAAATACAGGACTTTTTTCTCATGCTAGAGCTCTTCAGCAGAGCTCTGCGCATGGTCTGCCCTGGAAGAGCATTGAACCAACATGCTCACTTTGAGAGGAGGCGTGTTTGTCATTGGTGATGACAAAACACACCTCCTATGCCCCGCCCCCTTTTTAGTGGGCCGCTGTGTTAAAAAAATGCCCGGGCCGAATTTTTCTCCCAGTCCGGCCCTGGTGCCAGTGTTTCTATTGCTGTATCTGCATGTGTGTATGTCTGTGTATCTGCATGTGTGTCAGTCTGTGTACCTGTGTATTAGTATATGTGTCAGTTTGTGTCTGTCTATCTGCATGTATGTCTGTGTGTATCTATGTGTATATATTTATGTGTATTTGTATCAGTGTGTATGTGTTTGACAGTGTATGTGTATATGTGCATACATCACAGCATTCAATGACCAACACTTTACGCATATGCACTCCTGCATTCATATGTTAACACTACATGCAACCACACCTTTACATTAAAACACCAACACTATATTTAAACACACCGCAGCATCCAAAAATTAACACTACAAACAAATGCATTCCTGCTTTAAAAACGCCAACACTACATACAAAAACACCACAACATTCAAAAGCAAAACATTACACACAAGTACGCCACTGCTTTCAAATGGCAACTGGGCACAAAAACACACAACTGCATTCAATTGTCAACACTATACACTAATACAACTCTGCATTCACACATACATACTTTCATTCAAACACACAAACACTGCTCAGTACTAACTACAACCCTGCAAGGATGGTCAAATGGTAGATGTCCAGCTTGCAAAGCCTTGTGGCATTTGTATGAAAGTTGGGAATCTTCCTTGCGGTAGGGGGTCCCAAAGAAATCTTCCACCAGGGGCCCTGTCTACATTAGTTCTGCCACTGCACACAGAAAATATAGAATGAGAACTAAAATATCAGACTTTAAAATAAAGATTTTGAAAGCACACATCTACGTTATGAGTATTCTCCTCTGTGACTTTAAGTCTAATTACATCATTTACAAACATCTGTATTAAAACATATTAAAGGATTTAATTTTAGAATATATGTATTTGTAGAGTCTGAATTCCATGTAGAATGCTCTTTGAAACAAATCAGGCCAGGCCTGTTTCTTTAAAGCATTTACGAAATATTAAATTAGTGTTAAAACACCTGAAATAAAATCTTGGTTTAACATTTAAAGGGAAGAAAACGAGTGATATTGACCATCAACTTGGAGACAGTTGAATCTATTTCTGTAGAGTTCCTGCAGTTACAAAATCTCTTATCTAGAGCTCATGTCAAGAGAAACAACACGCGCTTCCTAACAAAAGCTTCTGAATCTTCTAACCTTTATCCTAAAAACCAGCGCCATTGATTCCCAGAAGAGCTATTTATAGCAAATCCTGGCATGTCTTTTGAACTGACATTACCCTACACTCTTCTTAGGCTTGTATCTCTGCACCTTTTG